ATCGATTAAAATAGAATAGAATTAACAAAGGACTACGTAGTATAAAGTAAAAAATATCAAGGTCAATTGATAAATAATTCAAATAAGAAAATATTTGTTGATGAGGACGAAACATAAAAAATTTTTTTAGGCAGGGTTTTCTCGGGTCGGGTTCATTTAGCCACCTCTAGATGGGAACTCGAAACCTACCCAACTCGATTTGACTAGAAAAAGTAAATGATCGAATCCATCTGACCTGAGACTATCAAATGACCAGTAACCCAAATGACACGTGAGCCGAATGACCCGTGATTCGAGACATGCATGAAACCCGAATGACCCGTGAATATTATAAACTAAAATTATCTTTTATTCAATAAAATCTACATTGTTATAATTTTACTCGTTCTAAATTATCATTTATTCAATAAAAATTATATTATTGTTATAATTTTACCTATTATAAATTATGATTGAATTTGCTAAACTTCAATACTAAAACTTCCATAAATTAATACTCGATAAAATTAATAAGCTCTCTAAAATAATATTTTACTCTGTTCCCGATTTGGGCCAATTATAAAAATTAGTAATTTCGATAAATTAATAAGTTAATAATTTTTATAAAAAAACCCTTATATATATATAGTTCCATCAATATTATAAATTAATAATCCTCTAAGATTTACATATATATCAATGAACATGTATTAAATTTATATATTTGTACGTTGAACGTGTATTGTAAGTGTAATAAACATAATTTCATTTATAACTAGTACAATGAACAAGACTAGTATTAAATTTTATTTAATTAGTCAATAGTTTGAATACTTAAAACAATGAATACATATTTATGTATATTAGTTATATTTATTTATATAATCAAATTTATATCATGGAACTAAAAAAACTCTTTAAATTAATATTTTATTAATTTATCGATTAATTAATAACTCTCTAAATTAATAAAGTTTCATGGTCCCAATATTATTAATTTATAGAAGTTTTAGATATAAATAATCACTAAAATTAAATCAGTTATATTTTATAATGAATTTATAATTAATTGTTTACATAATAAATAAATAATAATACTTAATTACTAATTTCTTGACGATTTTATCTATGAGGTAATAGCTACAGTACTAGTAATTAATGGTTGCAATTCTATTTTCATCATTTTTCATGGATACTTATATTATTAATTAATTTATAATTTTAACTGAAATATTAAGAAAAAATAAATGTAGATATTATATAACTAATATTTAAATGAATAATTATTTGATAGAAGCCCCTAAACTTGAAAATGGTTGATCACAAAAAATAGTTTCCTCGTGATGAAGGTAATGCTATGAAGCAACTCTTTTTATAAAAGCAAGTTCTATCTCATTTGATGGGAAAGAAGACTGGGAGTTTCATCCAAGTGTAAATTTTTTTTGGTCTTTTTATGTATAATTGAATGGATTATATAATTTTTAGGTGGATGTAAAATACATTTAGCGGTGTTTTTCTGAAAAAACGCCTCTATTTAGCGGCGTTTCTAAACAATAAACGCCCCTATTCCTAAATCAAAATTTTGTTTAGAAAATTAATTCCCCGGCGTTTATGCTTTAGAAATGCCACTAAATAGGGTCATTTTTCTGATAAAAACGCCTCTATTTGAAATAGTGGTGTTTGCTAAAACATCGCCAAAATCCCCGACGGCTGTTATGCCATCGCTTCTGGTGGCGAATTTTGAAACGCCATTCTTTCAAATAGCGGCGGTTTGAAAGTTGAAACTCCCCCATATACAAAAAAAAAAAGGTCCCTATCTAGACGTTTTCTATTAGTGATGGGATTGGGATTTAGATGAGGTGAGTAGTTGGCAGATACTGAAAATTAAACTTCAAATTAAGCGTAAACATGTCATCACAATATTTTTTTAATAATTTTTAAAAGTTTAATTTCCTTCCTACTAAATTTAATTTGATATGGTACTAATCAATAATAATTCTCAATAGACTGCCCTAATTTGAAATTTTGCCAAAAAAATATAAGGTGTTCAAAATCCTAAAAATATGCCTATTTTCTTAAAAATCTCATTAAATAAAAATAAATGCATAATTTATATGGTAGTGGACCCACATAAGTTTAGTCCAAAAATTAGTTTCTACAGATCATAAGGCCACAGTTAAAAACCATTAATTTCACGTTTGAAGTCTATGGACTATGAACCCCTTTGAATTTAGTTGAATACTATTTTACAAGTACACTTTTATATTTATAAATAAACCTTAAAAAAGGATGAACTTATAAAATACAAGTCAACACCTACAATATGTGACCAAATCGGTGCCGTTTGGGTTAATCCAAATTAGAGGTGGCAAAAATAATTCGAACACCAAATTTCAATTGAAACCATCCGAATTAGAGTCCGACCGAATCCGAATTGAATAAGAAGGTTAACGATCCGAAACCTAACTTTAATCCGAACCTGAAATTATCCAAGTCCGAATTTATCCGACTTTATCCGAATCTGAGACTAGACAAGCCCAAATCCAACCCAAGCTCACCTAAGATTAACCCGAATTTGAAATAAATTTAACTCAAAAAATGGAAAAGTAATGAAAATTTAATTTTCAAAAATAAAAAAGAGCCAAAGTCTGAACCCGAACCTAACCCAAAACCGAAACTGGAAATACTCGAATCCGACTAAGAACGAATTTTGACTGAATCTAAATTTGAATGAACTCTGAACCTGAATGAGCCCAAAACCTGAAAGTGACATGAACCAAAGATTACCCAACCCAGAACCGATCGACCCTTCCAATTGCCACCTCTAATCCAAATTGCAAGCACTAATAAATTTAATATTTCCATGAAAACTACTGTTAACAATACTATTTCCATGGTAGGATTATTGCCCATTTAATTCATTTAGTTTTTGTAAGCAGGTTGGGAGTTGGACGAATCTGTGAAGGCCAAAAGGCCACAAATTTAATTATTCAAACTCAAAAAATAAAAGTGAAAATAATTTGAATTTTTTTTGTCATGATTTAAATGTGATGGACGTTTTGCTTGTGAGGGATTTGATTTGAACTTCACACATTATCAAAATGGCATTTATGATATGGGGATCAAATGAGGAAGATGCTGGTAAATTAAGTTAAGGCCTAGCCAACGGCTACAATAGATATATTTAATCTTTTGAATATAAGCTTGTAAATAGACACATATATAAAACAATACATTTAGAATTGTAAGATCCGTATAATGTTGAAATAGATCACCTAGACCTGTGGATTGTGAATAAAAATAATCCACCAATCTCTAGATGTATTTATATGGTCTATAAATACAGAAGAAAAAAACAATAATATGAAGCTTATAATTGCAAAGAAAGGGAGAGCTAGGTTGGACTTCGGAGGAAGATCTGGATTTTGTATTGATTCCAAAGTAACATTTCTTAATACTGCTGGTTTGTTTATGCTTAGATATTGTTTGGTTGGTGTGCAGTCCCTCTACATATCATTTTTGGAGCATCCTACCTACTACTGATCTCATATTATAGTAGTAATTAATTTTTATATCTTACCAGTTACCACTATAATAAACGAAAGCAGAATATCATTATCAGCAATTCTGACATGTTTTTATTGATTAATTGATTGATTGAGTACGATAAAGGAACTATAAGCAATGGGCAGCATGCAGCTGCTGGAGGTATGATGATAAGGTTAAAGTCCTGCTAAATGTTGCACTTAGACTTGTAGTTTTACAGGCTAAGTAATCTAGCATTAGAAAGAATATTGATGAGATATTGAACTGGATTCCTATGTTAATTACTAATTCTTATAGTTTTGTTTTGGCATCAACTAATTCTTATAGTTCAGCTTATACTTTATCCGCGGCGGCTAATCACACATATTTTCAGGATCAGTGCAGTAGTTGTGCAGCCCTTGCTAGCTACACTAGGTAGCAGTAAGTAACTTTTGTGATCAGTTGATTACACCGCATAAGGTTGCATTTGTTTCTTCCATAGTTATTAATTCCGGTTCGTACAGTGACTTGTTCGAGGTCTCAGGTCACAGGTCAATTGGTTCAACCGTCGGGTTGATCAGGTCAATACGGGTTAATAAATAATAATTTTAAAATATTTTTATTAATTTTATATTTCTTATTTACATTAATAACTTGTTAAATTTAATATGTAATAATACATATAATAATTAATAATTATATTTTAATATAAATAATAAAAATAAAATGAATTTAATCTCCTTAAACTTAATTTTAAATAATTAACAACTTCAAATTCAAAGTAATAAATATATTAGTTATCAACTTTTTATTTCTCATTATGATTCATGTTTATTAAAATAACATTTGCTATATTACCCTTGTATATCTATTAAAAATTGAATAAAAAGTGGTTTAAATGTAAATTTTAGGCTAAAGTATCAACCTACCTGGGTCATTAAAATCCGACCGGGTCGTCGGGTCAATCCGGGTTTCAACGGGTCACAGCGGATCAACTACCCAAATGGTCCAATAAATTACCCGGCCCGGATCAAGCCCCGGGTCACCGGGTCGAACGGTTCGACCAGCGGATCGGACCGAGTTTAATAACTATGGTTTCTTCACTTCTATTAACTTCGGGTTCGGGTCATTTTAAGTTTGAGTGACTTTTGGTTTTGATCATTTTGCATTATGGGCCATTTCGGGTTGCAGATCATTTTAAGTTTCGGATAAACAAATCGGTTTGAGTCATGTTCGATTTCGAACAAACTAGTTGGAAATTTATTATCCGTTCAAGTTTTACCAGCTCTACTAATTATCCAGCAAGGCAATCCAAATTCATTATTAAAAAAACGATAGAAAGAAATAATCCAAATGTGTGATTAGCATTTAATAAAGGGAAAAGTTAAACGTACTAAATATGTTAATGAACTTACTGTTTGTCATTGTTTTTGTTTTTTTGTTTTTTCGTTTTTGTTTTGTTTTTGTTTTTTTTAGCAAAATAGATTTAAATTCCATTAATGAATGAAATTGGGATTACAAACACTGGGTGCTAAACACCTGCACCTCACATTATCAAGCCTTAAACTAGCTAAATTATGTGTCAAAGCATTGACTTCCCTATGAACATGAGAAAAAGAGCACTCATCAAACAACAAAGCCAACTCCCAAATTTCGTAAATTAGATTGCCTCCTTCCCACCAGCATGGACCAAAGTTATCGATATGATCGATAGCAACCCGACAGTCGCTCTCAACAATGCACCGAAGAACACCCAATTCCAAAGCTATCTCGAATCCAAATAGCAGAGCATGAACCTCAGCATAAAGTGGGCCAGAAACAAAACTCAACATACGCGAAGCACTATCAACTATACTTCCACTATTGTCACGAACAACTACCCCAAGCCCCACCTCTTTCCTGTCCACACAAAAAGAGGTGTCCACATTAATCTTCATTAACCCCAGAGATGGAGGCACCCAACCTAGCGTAGGACTGCTCAAAGTACCCGTAAATGGCACCGAGTCTTGTTTACAAAGCTGCTGCACTACATTAGAGGCCACACTCGCCAAAGCAGCTGACAAACTACACATACTGTTGTGAAGAGAATTATTCTGATTCTTCCAAAGTAGCCAAAGGGTGCATAAGAATTTATCCAGCTGCCCAACCGGCCGTGATGCTTTGGCCAAGAAGAAATCCCAAAGATCAATCTCATCACTCCAGTCTTCTAAACAACTCGCAACCCATGGACAGACCAAGTCCCAGACTCTCATGCTGAAAGGACACTCAAACAAAGCATGGAACATCGAATCTTCATGACCCCCGCACACATCACAAGTATCATCAATCTCTAAACCTCGTCTTCTCAAAACAGACTTGATAGGCAATATATTCCAAAAGACACGCCAAAAGAAGTACTTCATCTTAGGCATTACACCCGAACTCCAAACTAGCTTCCACAACCGAGAATTTGCCTCATCTGTTTGACCCTCTCAACCAAGTATCCATTTAGCAACATAATAAGTTGACCTCACCAAAAACGTACCAAGTTTTGATGAATTCCAAATCAAACAATCATCTACCGGGGCTTTGGGCATAGGAAGACACATGCATGATATGGATTTGCCTCATTTGTTTGACCCTCTTGACCAAGTATCCGTATCATATGATACGGATGACATCCTCCTCTTAAAAAAAATCCAGCAGCTTATCTTCAAGCCATGCCCTTTCCTCAAAATTTATCAATACCGAGACTTGCATAGGAGCCTACGAAACCCCTTCTTGGGACTGTGGAATGAAAGAAGGGGCATTATTGATCCAACGATAAGTCCATTTTTTTTTTTTTGCCAACAATCCAACGATCAGTCCAAACATCCAGATTCCCACTCCCCACTCTCCAACGGGAACCTTCAAACAAGACATCCCTCATGGTAAGAAGACTCCTCCATACACAGGAAGGATTAGATCCCAATCTTGCTAATTGAAAATTCCCCGATGGGAAACATTTTGAGCGCAGTACACGAAAGAAAAGAGAGGAAGAGTTCTGAACTAACTGCCAGCATGTTTAGCTAATAAAGATAAGTTAAAAGCCTCAAAATCCCAGAAGCCCAACCCACCATCAGCTTTCTATACACAGAGTGACTCACAAGACTTCCAATGGATTTGTTTCCTAGTATCCGTTGTTCCCCACCAAAAGTTGGCAATAATCATATTCAACTCATGGATGAACGATTTAGGAAAACAAAAAATACTCATCAAATAAACAGGGATAGCTTGAGCAATTAACTGAATCATTATCGTCTTGCCCGCAATTGAGAACAATTTATTATTCCATCTTTGAATGCAATGTTGTAATATGTCTTTAATGAATCGAAACTCCCTTGACTTTGATCTTCCAATCATCATCGGAAGTCCCGAGCACATATCTTTATCAAGCACACGTTGCACTCCCAATAAACGCATAATTGAAGACTGCACTGTTGGGGAAGTATTAGCACTAAAAAGGATTGATAATTTATCGATATTGATTTGCTGTCCCGAAGCCGCTTCAAAATCTCCCAAAATGCTCCGAATAGATTCGCAATCATTAGCACTAGCCTGAAGGAAAAGGATAATGTTATCAACAAAAAATAAGTGGGAAACCCGAGGAGCCTAACGAGCCACTAATACACTACAAATTGCCCTTTGACTATCAGCCTTCGAGATCAACCTAGATAGGGCTTCCATGCAAAGCAGAAAATGGGTCCCCTTGACAAATTCCACGCTTAGGAACATTTGTTTAACATTGTTTCCCATTAACATTAACTGAATATGCAAAACTGCGCACACTAATCATAACTCATGAAATCCATTTTGAAGAAGACCACATTTTACTCATACAAGATTCCAAAAAATCCCACTCCACACGATCATATGCCTTACTAAGATCCAACTTTAAAGCCATATGCGTTTTCCGACCAGCTATCTTATTCCGCAAAAAATGGATAGTCTCAAATGCAATCATTGCATTGTAAAAAATCATACACTCCGGAACAAAGGCACTTTGATTCTCTCCAATAACTTGAGGCAAAATCAACTTCAGTCTATTAGCAAGTGCTTCGGAGACAATCTTAAAAACAACATTGCATAAACCAATCGGTCTAAAATCCTTTACCGTCTCAGGAGAGCTTACTTTTGCTATTAAAACCACATTCGTATGGTTAATTTTAGGCAATGGTAATCCTTCATTCAAAAAAGCCAAAGACATAGAAATAACATCTTCGCCCACAATGTTCTAGCATTTCTGAAAGACGGTATAGGAGTCATACCATCCGGACTAGATGCCTTCCCTCCCTGCATTTAAAAAGCTGCTAATTTAATATCGTTACAAGTAAAGTCAGCATCCAAAACAGCCCTCATACCATCATCTAAATGGTTATCCATAGCCTCCAAAACCTTTCCGATGGACTCATCACTCGGTTTGGTTGAAAAGAAAATATCTTTATAGTAAGCAGAATTCACCCCTTCATTGGCAGCAGGATTCGTTAACCATACTCCTTCACTGTTCCGAATACCAGCAATTGTCTTTCTATGTTTCCTGACTGATGCTAAAGCATGAATGTAACGAATGTTCTTGTCACCTTCCTTTAACCAAAGTTCTTTAGAACGTTGTCGCCACATGGTTTCTTCATATTTGCACAAGGCCTCCAACTCATCCTTGCACGCTTCAAAGACTTCCATATCACCCAAAGCACCTTTCAAAAATTCCCTCTCAAAGGCCTTACATTTTGCAGCAATTTTGAATTTAACATTTCCAAAAACCTACTTATTCCAAGTTACAAGGGCCTGACCACAACTTTCAATCTTCCTTTCAACATCAAAACCAGCTGCAGCTCTCCAAGCGAATGAAACTACATCATCAAAATTCTGATGAGAAGGCCACATATTTTCGAACCGAAAAGAAAAATTCTCGAGGACATCTTCAATATATTGAGAGGAAATCGAAACAAGTAGAGGCAAATGATCGGACATCGTGGAAACAAGATGTTTCTCTGTAGAGAACCCAAATCTATTCCACCAAGACACAGAGAGGAAACAATGGTCTAGCCATTCAAAGACCCTCTCTCCATTGATTCGACGACTCCAAGTCATCAAAGGACCTGTAACAGGCAATTCTTGAAAACCACAATACTCCACTGCACTATTGAAAGAATCCATTTGAGTAGAGGATCGCAAAGCACCCCCTCCTTTTCACTTGCTAAATGTATTTCATTAAAGTCCACTATATAACACCAAGGCAAAGAGGACCTGCGTTTTAAACACCTGAGCAAACTCCATGACTCATGGAGAAAAGAGATCTCGGGTCTACCATAGAAACCGGTAAACCTCCAATAGTTAGATACATCACCAACTTGAACATCAATGTGAGAAGTAGATTAAGACAAAAGGGAAATATATAACTCATTCATCCAGAGCAGAGCAAGACCCCCCGTTCTACCATTACAATCAACATAAAAACATGAATCAAAACCTAACCTAGAGCGAATTCAATCCATTTCATTTGCAGTACGTTTAGTCTCTGACAAAAATAAAATGGTTAGTTTATTACAAAAAACTAAATTGGAAAGAGAGGAAACTGCTGAGGAAGAGCCTAAACCTCAATAGTTTTAGGCCAAAACATTCATTGATCTCAGCAGAGACTGGCCTCACTCGCCGTCTCCGCTACTGGTCGTTGTTCATCATCATTGTCCTCTATAGCGCCTCCCTTATAGGCAAAGTCATCCCAGCCCCAATCAAAATCTCATCTCCATTTTCACAGGAGCGCTTATTAAAGCCCCCTACATTAGTTTCCATCGGCATCACACCCGAACCTCTCCTTTTTCTGACCCAAAAGAATCTCCTGGTTCTGGCACACGTTTTCGAAAGAATATTTCTCAGTAGTCTTGGCAATCTTTTTCCACTTCTTAGTTTTTTTGGGCTTAGAAATATCCCTGTTCCAAACACAAAAGCAGCAGAAACATCTAATTGCTAAATTAATTCTTGTACTGTGCGCTGCTTTTTAAGTTCCGTGGACAACCCAACCTTAGCAAGGCCCAAAGGTTCATCATTTTTAGACGAACCCGCTACCAAAGCTGGGTCCCCAATAGTCGACCCAATCCCAGGAATAGTTGGGTTGCGACCTCCAAAGCCCACCATCCTTACTAGCAATGGGACCTCCCAAATTATTCGAACATGCCTCTTCTTCATCATCACACCTTTTCCTATCAGAATTGTCAGGCAAAACCATTGCAGCCTTCCCACACAAACTCAAATAGGATTGAGTTGACACACTGATGCGTAACTTTCGGCCCCAGAAGTTTGACCATGAATTGCGGCAGCCTCTCCTCCACATTTGGAAACCACCTCTTCATCTCCTACCCGATCCAACTTATGCTCAATACCCTACCCATGAAAGTCGGACACGATCTCACATGACACATCATCTTCAGCAATCCCATGCGCCACCCATCGCCCCCGTAAAGCAAGGCTATTGACGTGATTTCGAAACCGACTTCCCAAACCTTGCATCACCGATTCACTACCCCTAATGGAAGAGGAGGCTGGTAACAACTATTTTCCTTCTCGGTGACTCCCTCCACCCTCTAATCTCAGCCACCGAAAAAGGAGACATAGTAGGTGTCGTTCCTCGACGGGCATTGCTTTCACCACCACAAACAAACCTGCTCGCTTGGCCAGGTGATTTAGAACCAATAGAAAAAGTCTGGCTTCCATCCCTATCGAGGAACCTTGACTTGGTTGTCGGCGATTCGGTTTTGAGATTTGGAGAAAACTTCCTTACTGAAAAACCCTACAATATTATCTGAGCAATGGCAATAGGGTACACCGCCTCTTGGTGAACAAGCACACCGCAAACCCACCAAAATTTCGGAGACTTTCCATAAGTAAATGTGACTTTTAGATCACCATCAGGAGTTTCCAATGTCGTGCCATTTTTGAATGGCTTGGAGACATCGACCTACACCCGGATTCGCAGGAACCGACTGTCAGAATCATCAACATCTTGAACCAAAACCATCGAAGAGCCAATTGCGAAGCTGATCATGTCATTCATCATCGCCGGTGGAAGACCAAAAACGCAAATCCAGAAAGGGTAGGTATCGAGCTCAATACTCTCGGGTTGCTTAAACCCATCATAGTTCCTAAGCAACAAAAAAGGTTGTTGAAAGGACCAAGGTTGGGAATCCAGAACCCGATCCTTTTCCACTCCATCTTTAAATTGGAACAGAAATAGACGTTCCCCCAACTTCTTGACAGTCAGCCCTGACTCCGGCTTCCAATCCTGGATCATAACCCGTCGCAGACCCTCCAAATTAACAGGTCTTTTGGAAAACAATTTCCCAATTAAATAAAACCTAGCAGGAGCTCCATCAGCTTCATCAAACCAATCCCGTCAATTTTTTGAAAACAAAAACATGTTTGCATATACAATTTTTTTTTGTATGTCATTAAATAAAAAGAATAAAAAAATTGATGAAAAAACATGTAAGTTGTTCATCGATATGTTTCTGTGCTTTGAAAATGTTTTGGAAAGACATGAAAATATGAAAATCTTGCTTCAACTTTTTTTTTAAAAGACTGATTATGTTTCCAAAATTTTTTAAAACGAAAACAACATATCAAATGTGTTTTCACTGTTTTGTTTATAAAAACATAAAATTGGCAATCGAAAACAAAAAACGACAACAATGGCAAACTACTCACACCATTCATTACTATGATTATTACTTGCTAAAGTGGCTTGATATTAAATCTACTATTAATTTTATGTACAAGGCCCTCATTGAGTGCCACTTGGCATTTAGTTTCTTTGACAAGTGTCAATAGTTAATTTTCTAATTTTTGTTTATTATATTTGTATTCATTTTAGTTTGGAAAAATTAAAAGACATTCATCCCCTTTCCTATATAAAATAAATTATCAAATAATTATAAATTAATTATAAATTTGTTATGAATATACATGTATGTTGTGAATGTCCATGAATCTAATTAAAGCATGAATATTGATGATTTGGTTCATTCATACACATATATCTATATACTAAGTTCATCCCCTTATATTTATGGTGATGTATATATGTGCCTATAAATAGAACACTTACTTTTTTATGGAATAAGATGAATGAGAACGATTTCTCCCCTTCTTCATATTTTCTCCTTCCCCATATTCTATTGTCTCTCAATTCTCTTGTCTTTTCCATACTTCAATTTTACTCCCTTGCTTTGTTTTGTTATCATTTCAAAACAAAATTTCATTTCTTAACTGAATTTTCTTAAAAGAATTTATAAGATAAACAGCCGCACGCGAAGCGCGGCCGGGAGGTTCTAGTTTTCTTTAAAGGGATGAACATCCTCTACCCATGTGCCACATGTGTGATTAGCATTTAATAAATATTTACTAAAAAAATTAGACCTAAATATATTAGAATGAGAGTATATTTTAATTTGTACAAGTAAAAAAATTTGTACAAGTTAAACAGAGAATAACATTAAAAAATGAAAAAAGAAATGTGGCATCATATGATTAATAAGACACAAAATATGGATCAGGGAATTTGTATTCTCCCTAAAGATTGAAAATTGCATACTTTCTTACTTCTTTTATATATATATATATATATATATATATATATATAAGTACGAATGTTGTAAAACTTTTGAATCAACCATTGTACCCTTATGTTTTTAATATATTTTTTTAAATGGCGTTGTTTAAACTATCATAGTTTTACTCTATTAAAAACTCTATTTTTATTTAATTAAATCTAATATTATTTTTATAACTTTTTTTAGTTTTACCATTTTACTATTTAAATTAAAAACTTAGATATATTAGAAAAATTTTAATATATTTTATAGTTTTATCAAAAACTCTATTTTCATTTAATTAAATACAATATTAGTATAATTATTTTATTTTTAGCATTTTAATTTGAAAAGTTATTTGTGGGTAACATGTTTCTATTTTTTGTTAATTTAATTTATTGTGATTAAAATTCATTATTTTAGATGACATTGTCTAAACTATCATAGTTTTACTCTACTAAAAACTCTATTTTTATTTAATTAAATCTAATATCTCTAATACTATTTTATTTTTACCATTTTACTATTTTAATTAAAAATTTAGATATATTAGAAAATTATAATATATTTTACATCTTTATTCTATCAAAAACTCTATTTTCATTTGATCAAATTCAATTTTTTTATAATTATTTTTATTTTTACCATTCTAATTCAAAAATTTATTGTGATTGATTTTTTCTATTTGGTAGTTTACTTTATTGTGATTAAAACTTATTTTTCCTTTTAACAAGAATTTTATGTTTTTTTTTTAACAAAATAAGAGTAACATGCAACATAAGAAAAAAGCTTCGAATGAATCCTCTGAATGAATTAAAGTTTTGAATCTTTCCCATGAGTCTAGCACGCACGACACCTTATTTTCGCTTCTAATAAGTAATTTTTTCAGCAAAGAGTTTTCACCAACAACGACAAAAAGAAGAGTGATCCGAAAACCTCCCTGATTGATCCAAAAATCACAAAGAAAACCTATCTCAATATAAGGGTGAAATCCCCAATCTATTAATAACTCAAAAGACAAAAAACAAACTAAAGAAACTGACTCAACAAACTGAATTGAGTCAAACATCAAGATTCAAATTTCAAATATCTGGAGACTTATAACCTAGACAGATCAACAAATTTGTGAGACTTTATTCTAAAAAAAAAAGAAAAAAAAGGATAAAACATTAAAAAAAATCAAACCCCCCTCCCCCTTGAATAGTATAGTCGAGGAGGAGGAGGAGCAAATAAAGAACTAAGAAAGAAAAGTAGAGAAAACTATAGAGAAGGGAGGAGAGGGGGAGAGACGGCTAGGGTTTTATTTTAATTTATTCTTAGATCTACATAGTACATTCATAACAATATATATATTACTCCATCCGTTCATATTGAATGTCCATCTTACTATTTTCAGATGTTTCAAAATAATGTAATATCAACCACTTTTACACCCTTACCCTTAAATTAAACATTGACTTATTACAAAAAACGCAGCTTTCTATCTCTTTTAAGGGTATTATTATAAAGCATATATCAAATACCAATTTTCCTTAAACTTTGTGTCATTCACCAAGTGGACATTCATTTTGAAACAGATGGATGGAGTATACTACTTAACCAATAGTACCTGATTTTTTTTTTTTTTTTTTGCAGAAACCAATAGTATTTGTTTAAATTTATGTTCATTAATATATTTTGTGAGGTCTATATTATAATTTTTTTTTTCCGGAGGTCTATACTTATTGAAAAAAAAAATAGAAGTTAAGTATAATAAAATGTAATATTTGTAAAAGTAAAGCAACAGACAAATTAAGGTTTAGACACCATACGTTTATGAGTTGAACTAGCAACAAGAGAGCATTAATATAAGTAATTAATTTATTTTAAAATATTATTAATTACTATAAATAAATAAATAAATAAGATTAGATCATTTAAGAATAACATTTATTTCCAATAATAAACTCATATTAAGAGTTTGGTACATAAATTGGGTTGGATATGGTCCGAGGTGTCAAATAGGTGGGTTGGGCGGTTTCAGGTTCGGGTCAAATGGGTTAGGCAGTTTTTTCGGGTCATTCGGGTTTCGGGTCATTCGGGTCTCGGGTCATTTGGGTTCCGGGTCATTCGGGTTTCGGGTCTACCGGGTCTCGGGTTGGGCAGGTTCTGGTTTTGACTTCGGGTCACTCGGGTTTCAGGTCAATTAGGTCAGCATTGAATTTTTTAATTTTCAATACTCAACTTTTTAAATATATTTATTATTCGATTTATTTTATAAACATGTAGAAACATTAGACAATCTATCATCAACGTAGTTTAGCATACTGCATATGTGAGGTTAAAGGATAGAATACTTGATATGTGTCTCCTTAGATTTTATTTTTGAATATTAAATACATAATTGATTATTAAGTGAGGTAGGTTTTGAATATTAAATACATAATTAATTATCAGGTGGGGTATGTGTCAACATTTTAAGCCGTATAAAAAGTAAAAACACTATTAACAGTGTATTATTATAAGTAAAATATTAGTTATATAATATCTAAATTTATATTTTTTTCATTACTTCAATTATTATTATAAATTAATTAATAATATAATTATCCATGAACAATGAAAATAAAATTACAATCCTTACCAGCTAGATTATTAGTACAGTCGTAGTACCCAATTGATAAAATCACCAAGAAATTACCAAGTAAGTATTACTATTTATTCATTATTTTTAAAAAATAAATTACTAATTATAAATTTATCATAAATTATTCATATAACTGATTTAATTTTAGTGGTTGTTTATATAATTATTGTTCATATAATGAATTTTAGCAAATTTAATCATGATTTATAATTGGTAAAATTACAATAATAATATTAATTGTATTAAATAAATGATGATTTAGAAAAAGTAAAATTATAAATCTTATTGAATAAAAGATCATTTTAGTTTATAATATTCTCGGGTCATTCGGGTTAACTTCTCGGATTATTCGGGTTTCGGGTCATACGGGTCTCGGATCATTCGGGTTACGGGTCATTTGGGTTATGAGTCATTCGGGTCTCAGGTCATTTGGATTACGGGTCATTCGGGTGTCGGGTCGGACGGGTTCAGATCATTTACTTTTTCTGGTCAAATCAGGTTGAACGGGTTCGGATTCAGGCGGATTAGGCATGTTCTCGGATTCGGGTCAGCTTTTGACAGCTATAGAGTTGGTTGGTAATTCGAGAGAAAAAAAAAGATTGGAAAAAGTTAAGAACTAAAAAATGTGTTCTTTTTTTCTTTCGGTTGACAGGCAAATTATGGAGTTTTACTGCTGTTAAACATCATCCTCCATGAGAATAAAAAACAACCAAAACAAAACATGAGTATGTTACCCAAAATGGTTTATTCTTCTCTCCGTTTCTAAAATCTAAATTACCCAAAACATGACTTTGTCCTTGCTCTGTTAATAACAGTGTCGCCTCATTACAGCAGTCGACCACGCAGCAATAAATAATTCAGCCAAATCTCGCTCTATATAATAACTTGTGAGTTAGTAGGATACTACATACAACCACCAAAGAAGAGCGCAATGGAGTTTCCACTGCTGCTGGTTTTCAAGGTGATATTCACCATATTCTTTCTGGTTCTAATCGGCGCCGGCGTCAGGTTACTTGATTCACTTATATTGAAGCCTCAAAGGATTCTTTCGAAGCTCCGGAAGCAAGGAATTCGTGG